TACTCTGCGAACAGGATCCAGTTGGAAAGACGGCAGTGACGTATACAGTGTTATTCTAATACCTTTAAATTTGTGGCATTATAGTTACAGGACGCAACTGAGATTAATATGTACGATGATATGCTGGCCCTGTAAGGGGGCCAGAGTGGGATTTTGGAGACCAGGGATTCTGATTCCGAGTGGGGTTATCCTACTTAAGGTGATTCCTAGGTATCGGATCTCGATATTCCTAACAATTTACTCCTATCTTTATTCCTTCTTGACTAACATTTCTTCCACTTTATCTAGACAAATATTTTACCTTACTAGTTAGATTCGGCGTATCTCTCCTGTCTTTCTCATAGTTTTTTTTTTTTTTTTTTGGCTTAGGTTTATGAAATCATTTAATTTCTAAAGTTGATTGTAGTTCATCTACTGTGTTGTCCCACATCCTGGTGTTATACCACATTCCTGTATTTTACCTTACTCCCTACTGATATCCTATAGTTTCTATGACCAGAGTAGACTGCATTTTACCATCCTGCCCTATCCGGAGCCCTTCCCAGTCTCCCAGTCGGGCCCTATAAAGGCCTCAAACAATCAAGAACACTATTTATCTCCAGTACCAAGGATTCCTAATAGGCACTCTAAGGACCTGTAGAGGTGCTACATCCTCAAGATGCCATCAGCTTGTAGCTTTAGTCCATGGAGCTCTTCTTGCTCTGGGTGACGTGTCTAAGATTCATCATCTATACATCTGTCAATAGATTCCTGCATAGGATACAAGTGAATTGTTGAGTGGCAACCCACAGGAATTGGTACTCCCATTCTCCACATGACTCCCCACCAAAGACTTTACCAAAATCAAGTAACAAACCAGCTCCTCTGACCTCTTCTCAGACTTTTTCTTAAAGTATAAGCTCATATAAAAACAGTGATACTGCATGTCCCACTGCACTGTACGCAATAACCCCTAAAGAGCGATGCAAATAACAGAAGATACAGATACAGAGGATTAGAATCCATGAACTTGAGACGCTCCTTCGGGAGCAGAAACAGTTGACATGCCGGGAGACCAAATGGGTACAAAAGTGGAAGAGAAAGTGTAAGAGGATGAGGGGGAGTGTACTAGTAGCAAGTTCACAGGAGGGGAAGGATAACTTGAAATTGCATAGGGATGCACCACTCCCTCCCTCCTGCTATAGTCCACATCGTTGCTGCTGTCGTCTTTCAGGCCATCTATGCAAAGATTGGGATCGCCCAATACGAGGTCCACATGAAGAGCGAGTTCATTAGATCTAAACCCTTTAGGAGAAGTTTGGAAAATTTGGATGTGAGAAGCCAGAGGAAGTGGACAGTTTGGCAGACCTCGTAAGTTTGCATTCCTTTATGTAAAGTACTTGGGAAGATCATTAAAAATCAGAAAACATAATACTTATCCCTACTAAGTGTAACCGGTACGGGTACTCGGTTATTGGTTTTGTTTTATGTTTTGTTTTAAGTATCGTTTGATACTTGGTTTGTTTTAAGTATCATTTGATACTTGGTTTTTGTTTTATGTTTTGTTTTAAGTATCGTTTGATACTTGGTTTGTTTTAAGTATCGTTTGATACTTGGTTTTGTTTTATGTTTTGTTTTAAGTATCGTTTGATACTTGGTTTGTTTTAAGTATCGTTTGATACTTGGTTTTGTTTTATGTTTTGTTTTAAGTATCGTTTGATACTTGGTTTGTTTTAAGTATCGTTTGATACTTGGTTTTGTTTTATGTTTTGTTTTAAGTATCGTTTGATACTTGGTTTGTTTTAAGTATCGTTTGATACTTAGTTTTGTTTTATGTTTTGTTTTAAGTATCGTTTGATACTTGGTTTGTTTTAAGTATCGTTTGATACTTAGTTTTGTTTTATGTTTTGTTTTAAGTATCGCTTTGATACTTAAAGAGTTTTACCAAAGTGTATCGATTGATACCTTTGATTAGTTTCGCTCATGCTAGACATGAACAGATTTGTGTATTTAAAAGACCGCCTGTTTCTACAATGGAAAAGGCAGACTTCGATAGACAGTATTTCAATATACTTGGTTGAACGGTTACTTCTTTGTTCCCCAGTACACCCTCGAAGCCTCCTTTAGTTCTCAGCTCTCGTCTCCTCTCTGGAAGAGCAGGCCACCTGCCAACTATCGTATCTATTACCGATAACGTGATTAGCACCTTGCGAACACGTTACACTAAGATCCGTACAGGATTGGGAGAAATAGTTTTCCGAATTTCATTGACTTCCACAAGTGTGTTGGATATCTGTTTTTCCAGATCCTTCTTCTGCTAGCGGTGGAGTTACTGGCAAGTCAATTATTGATGTTTATGATTATTATGACTTTCTAGGTATATGGGAGAATATCAGAGAAAAGGCTGGAGAAGAAGAGGTATTTTTTATCATTGACAATGCTAAGACTCACTTGCCTTTTAGGAGATGGCTCAGAGGGTAGGGAATTACACTAATGGAAATTCCTGCCTATTCACTAGATCTCAATCCGATTGAAAATATTAGGTCTCTGGTGAAAGATAAGCTTCACAAGTACTACCCTGAGCTATATCTTATGAAGGGTAATGTCAATGTAGTCAAGAAGGCAAATAGTAGAGGCCATTACTTATTGTTGAGAACTTCTTGACCTAAAGGTTTTTGATACTTTAGCTCAATCAATGGTGGATAGAATAGAGGCAATTATTAAGGCTGATAGATGGTATATTAAATATTAATTTCTACTATATATTTACATCTTTTAATTTTTGTTTTTGTTTTCATGATAGTAGATTGGTGGGTGAGTGTGGTTATCATCGCCAAAGATTTTCCTCTGTTAAATCGTGATTAATTTTGTCCACATTCAATATTTATTGAAAACTAACTAACTAAATCCATGAGAAATAAATACTGGCCACACTCAGAACCTCCACCAAGCTAGTATTGAGGCCCAGTGGACTCTAATATGATACTACTCCACTCATGTCTACCCTGCATGTAGGGCCAACTGTACTCTGGTAGGCTTAAGAGTTCAATACTATTACCTACAAACTGTTCTAACTAGGTGACAATATTTAGCAAAAGAAATCAATAAATCCTAAGCATAAAACTGCTTCTTCAGAGGTGACTACAGATGACACTACTTCAGTAAATGTAATATTTTAATGATCTACAAACCACCAATCTCAAGTACTAGACTGCCTTCTCCAAGGTCAGCATATTTGAAGGCTGAAAAGAGACTTGGTATTATATTTGCAAACTTTGAAATACTTGTTATACTCTTTGGCAAGATGGTAGCACAGGGAAAGCCTGAGATCAAAGATCTCAGAGATGATCAAGTCAAGCAAATAAAGGAAATGGTTTACAGAAATACTGTCCAATTTATCAGGAGTGAAGTCTATCTCACAGAATTAGAGAAAGGTATTAAAGAAGCCAACTTGTAACAACTTGGTTTTACTTACAATTCTTCTTATACTCAAAGAGTTGAAAGGCAAGACAAGATGTAATCTTTTCTTTTCTAGACAGAGTTGGCTTCTTTAATATCTTTCTCTGACTCTGTTGAATAGCCTTCACCTTTAATTAATTGGACAGTATTTTCATAAACTATTTCTATTATCTGCTAGACCGGATCATCTCTGAAGCCTTTGATCTTGTGCTTTGCCTGCTCCAACATCTGGTCAATGGGTATGGCAAGCTTTTCAAAGCTTGCAAATATAATGCTAAGTCTCTTCTCTGCTCCAAGCATGTTGACCTTGGAATAGAGTATCTGGTACTTGAGACTGGTAGTTTGTTTCTCCTGAGTCTGTTGAATATTGTTAGAACAGTTTAAAACTTTAAGCTCACTGATATAGTGTTCTGTTCCACAGAGTTGATTCCAATTAAGCAGAAATGTGATAACTAGTCTTAGGAGGGATGAGCAATCGATTTTGTTCAAACTTGAACCAAGGACAACTAGTACATACCTGTTTTATATTTAATTATGCCTCCAATTCAAACTCTAAAATGACGCCAAGGACCGAAGCCAAAAACAGTTAGCAAGTGAATTCTCAGAGCATGGCACCTGAATGCAATTGTCTACCTAAAACATACCTATCATCAAATGTACTAACATTCGTACACTCACTTTTCGGGAGAATTACCAAATTCCCCTGTCCAAACCAGGCAAGTTCTACTAAGCAGCTTTATTTCAGTTTAGAAATAGTTGATTTTCCAGGTTTATAGGCCAATGCTAAATTCTTTTACATTTTATGATACCTAATCCCCCCAAATATATCATACATCATACATACAACCTCGCGAGTGCTAAGTTACTCTACATGTTTGACCAATGACTGTCACATTAAAACTATGATACCACTCGGGACAGCATTTCCGACAAACTCATTTTGAACACGATACCCGTATCATGTGGACATGCCGTGGACTGGTATATCTGCGGTGATTCTCATGCCCTCGGTCAGTTCATACCCTCGGCCAGATATTTTCATCCTTGGAAGAAACAGTAAATGGGAGCTAAGTGAAGCGGAATGCCCACCCGTTTTGTAATATGCTAGGAATATGCTGTAAGCGACCCAGATGAAGGATAAAAGGCAGCCTGTTTTTCCCTTGTCAGTTCCTTTCATTCATCATCTGATTTGTCTTTCTTTTCTCCTTTACATGTATTTGATCTATTAGTCTTTCGTTTCTGTCTATAAAATCTTTATATCATACAATTCTTTTGGGATCCAATACAAGTGTCCAGAACCGCTGTCCGTAAACTTGGTTTTCACAAAGCAGCATGGTTCCAGTTTGGAAAAGGGAGATTGGGCCCTGGAGCCATTCAAACGGTGATAATTTCCAATATTGGAAGTGAATTTACCCATGTCCCCAAGTTGGGATAGGTGGGGAGAAGTGGATGTTTTTCAATCGTAAATGTGGTGTTCAACAGATGGCTGACTCATCATTTCACTATTCGGGTTTAGGTGGGGAAGCTGATCAGCTATTGGGCCAACCACACACCACACTCAACTTAAACCCATGCCAACCAGAATAACCAGAGAGGGGGGCCAAAATCCAAAATGTCGGAACAAGCAAACAAGGTAGAGGGGGAAAAGGAAAAGGAATGGGAGGGGAAACAATCCCCACATCCAGAATTCCTCACGAAGGAGAATATCCACGTCGAGCTCACCAGCGCCCCACTATCCATCACTCAAGTCATGGATAGGGTCAGGTCTCCGAAAGCTGGAGCTCTAGTTTTATTTGCTGGTACCCAACCACCACACCACACTACGCCCAACCCCCCATCTTCCCTTAATTGACGAAAAGCAAATGCAGGAACAACACGCGACAACTTTGACAACAAACCCGTCGCTCACCTCGCCTACACCGCTTACACTCCCCGAGCCCTGGCGACCATGATGTCCATATGTGAGGAGGTGCTCCGGGAGCGGGGGTTGATGGCGATATGCATTGTGCACAGGATCGGCGAGGTGCCCATCGGCGAGGAGAGCGTGCTCATCGCCGTCGCGGGTAAGCATCGGGGAGAGACTTGGCGGGGCGGGGAGGAGGCGCTGGAGAAGGTTAAGGAGAGGGTGGAGGTTTGGAAGATGGAGAGGTTTGTGGGCGGGGATGGGGTTTGGAGGAGTAATCGGGATGGGAAGGTTGGAGTTAGGGTTGACGAGGGTGATGATGCTGGGGTTGAGGGGGATTGATTGATGATTAATTGACTGTTATGAGACAAATAGTTCTTTTTTTTCCTGAATTATCATTCATTCCATTGACCTGGGAAACTAAACTAACTGAGGAGACAATTGGTCACGCCTCACCCCATCATTCCGTCTCAAACGTAGTATTATATAATTTGCTCGCGCGTGCGGCACTTTTCATTCAGACCACATAAATTACCACTCCCTCCACATCAAACAGTAGGAATTAACGCTAACGTGACCCTAATACACAATCTCCTGGTCGCTATGATACGAGCACTTTAAGTTAGCCACAACAAATCACTCGGGCCCCAAAGTCGGGGAAAGAATGCAGGGAGAGGATGGGAGAAAAAAACGAACCAGTATTGCCCGGCGGCGAGTACCTAAACTCCCACCGATTCCCGCTCGCCAACCTAACACAGATATGCCCCCCGAGACCAGCCCCCCTACCCCGGAACACCAACTCCCTCTGCGCGGAGTCATCGGTGGCATTACACCCCCACCCAGCATCAAACATGGCCCTCGGATCGCCACGCCCGGTGAAGAACATTTTCGTAGTGTTGTCCGAAGCGGTATACTATTTTCCCCCACTATCAGTAGTGCACATTCCCTCCCTCTTGGAGGGGGGGGGGGACGATTCACTCACCTCGCCGTTGATAACAGCCCTCAACATGGTCTTTTGCAGAATGCCGTCCGGAGCGCGCTGAAGAATACCGCTTGCCAGCGATAGGTTGGCGACCGGCGTGCCCGCCGGGGACAGGTACAGGTGCTGGTCCCCGCCGCCCGCTTGCCAGAAGTTTAGGAAGCGATTGTTGATCTGCGGGTAGCTTGTGTTTTGTACTTGCACTGAGAAGGGCGCTGTGAACGTTGGGGTTGGAGGGTCCGTTGGTGGAGTGCAGGTGCTTGCGGGGTTGGCTAGGAGGAGTGGGAGGAAGAGGAAGAGGAGGGTGGTTAGGCAGATCATTTCTTTTGGGGATAATAGGGAGGAGGAGTGGGGGGGGGGTATCGTATGTATTGGGGAGTGTGACTAGGGAATGCGAGGAGCAGGAAGAGGAGGGGGGTGGATTATAAAGCCTCCCTCAATCTCTGGAGAATCATCTGTTACCTTTTTCCACTCCATGACCCTCTCCCTCTCTTCCCGCCCGCTCGCCCGAAGCATGATAGATCCAACAAAGCAGCAATCCCACAAAACAGTTACTGTATAGTACCCACCGTACCTGGGTCGTCGACAACATCACAGCATAACGCCAAACAAGAAGAAGCACAAACAAGTAAATAACTGTGTAAATATCTCCCGTAACACAAACGGGAAGAAGGGAAAAAAATAAAAAATAACTCCGCCAAGCAAGCCGCCGTATCATTCATTTCAGCCCTCCATACACCCCACTTCCCCTCCCCTCCTTCCTATGTACTGTACCGTGCTCGAGGACATCGCACCGCAGTAAAATATCCGTCGCCAACTGCATCGAGGTCGGGAGGTTATTCGGGGGGCTTTTTTTTTTTTTTGTGGCATGGAGTACGATACGATACCAACCAGGTTCGATATATATACTCTACTCGGGAGATAACAGTATCATAAAGTAAGGTTATCTAATTTACCCTTTCCTTTTGGGGGGGGGTGGTGGTGGTGGCTGGTGCGGGCATGCGGGCGGGACGTGCATTTAGTCTAGTTCCTGCATGCTATGTGAGTGTAACGGTAGTGAGATTACCTTGACCATGTTACTTTCTTTCTTGCGGCTGTAGGATGGGTTATTGCGCGCCCGGACTTCTTGAGGGGGGCGGGGAGGGGGTTGGTTTGTGCTCTGGTTAGACTTATCATAATAATATTATCATAATTACCATACCTACCTAGGTATGATACACAGTTATCATACCGGTTACTTGTGTTCATACGGCCCTATAGGAAGGGAATTCATTCCTTCGCTGGCTGGCTCGCTGTTCCATTTTTTTTTTTGTTGTTGTTTCGAAGAAGGAAAGAGTTGTATCATAGCGACAGATTATAGAACTATTCGGATCTCGCCTTTGTTCTTCCTTCTTTCTCGGCGCATGAGTAGTGTGCTGTACTGTGCAGTACTGTTGTTACTAGCACTTTGCGGAGCTTTTGATAGAGAGGTGAACTAGGGAGGAGGGGGTTCACTGGGATCTCCTTTCTTTCTTTGGGCCGTGGTTGGTCGGTGCCTGCGCTGTACTTGTACTTGTACTGTACTTGTATCATACAGTAAAGTACCTGGCTGGGCTGGTGTGGTTGTGGTGATTCTTGGCCAGAGGAAAATTTCAGGGCTATATGGGAATTGGGTATCATACTACCGTACTGCGAGTTAGCCATGATTTGTGATTCAAAAGAGAACTCTTGATGTGTGAGGCGGGACCAACCGGATTGCTAGCATTTGACTCTGGGCGTGAAGACATTAGAATGGTCCCCCCGTTTAGCTTATCTGTACAGGTACAGTACGGTACTGTACACGTGTGTATATATTGGGGAACGTTGCGCAATATGTTGCAACCCGGTGGAGCACATACGGTATTGGGCACCATTTCGTGTCACTGCAGGTAATTAATCTTTTCTCTAATCCTCTTTTCCCTCTTTTTATTTTATCTATTTATTAACATTGGAAGGGATTTGTGTTCGCGAGTAGCCCCTCGAGTACAATACATTAAACTTGGCTGCCTTTTCCCCCTCCCCCCCAATTACCAATTAAGAGCCCTAGGCGGGTATGCAGACCGAGTATCCTGATTTGAATGAGTAGCAGCGAAGGCCATCTGGACATCCATTTTTGGCATCACATGTTGTGAAGGCGTATGGTGCACTTGATGTGGGGGTCGTTGCGGGGGATCTAGTATTCATATTCGTGGCCTCGGGGGTGACGAGTGTGGTAGCGGGGCTTGGAACTGATGCCGCGGAGCTCTCCGTCTTTGTCTCAGAAGGCCCAGCGACAGGCGGGGCCGTCTCTGAAGGTGTAGCGGTCGATTGTTGGGAAGTGGGTGCTGGAGTACCGGAACCACTACCTCCAATGCAGGCGAATGACATGGAGGAAACATATGTCCCTCTATCCTTCGGCTGGCTCAAGTCCCAGTCCATGCTCACATACGGCCAACAAACACCCTTCCCTTCAATCCTTTGCATGTCGCCCGCCACAAGGACATCTTTAGCGGAAATCGCCTCTCCAACCTTCTTGCCCTGTGAATCGACCTGCTGGAAGAAGGTTCCCGAGAATGTCCCCGTGCATGACAATGGCACGGGATCGCAGTGTGGATTTGAAAGCTGCTCCCAGGTGACAATGGCGTTGGAAGAGTCCAGCGCAGCTACCCTGACATTCTGCTGGTCTGTTGTCGATGACTTTGTGATCCAGGTCACTTGATCGTCTCCGCTAGCTGCTCCGACCTTCGAGATGGCTTCTGGGCCTTGAAGGGTAGACTTATCCTTTAGCATTGAAATGGCTACATTATGGTTGAGCCAACGGGGAGAGCAGGAGGTATAGCCATCACCCATCCAGTCGTCCCGTGTCAAGGAAACCGCGCCGCGGGATTGCCAAGCGAAGATATATGTCGATGTTCCGGGGAATAGAGCCAGACTGCTGTAAGAGCCACCCATGCCGCCCACTATGTACCGCGATGTGTTAGAAATGAGTACTGTACAAGATAGGCGGCAGAGATACTTACTCGGTTCTCCACTGACACCGTTGGTGGTGTTCTCGTTAGCGATTTTAACGCCGCTCATGTATTGAGTTTTCGTGTTCAACCAGATGGCACTTTTTTTTTTTTTTTTTTGAAAATCAGTGTCTGTGATAAGATGAGCCCCGGAATGTAGTTACCCGTGATCCTCTGCGCAGACACTGGCGAACGGCGCAGCATCCGCCTCCTCGAGAGCTATTCCCGTGTTGTGCGAGCACCCGAATGTGCTCGAAGCGCCAGCAATGTTTTTAATCTCGCCACTATCGTTGACATATTGAATAGAATCACCAAAGTGCCCTGATGCCCCTCCGGTATATGCTACGGTACCACCCTCAGCCCAAATACTGGGAGCATCTCTTCGGGAAGCTCACCAGTGACAACAAAGTATGCGGCATATAGCCCTGCCGCCTCGGAGTACACCAAGTCACCGTTCATGTCGGGGGAAGAAGACAGCTACACAAGGCGCGTTAGTAAGTGGGACCGGTGTTTGCGATTCATTTCGACTCACCCCATCCGACTCGTGGACTCCTGGTCCATTGACCGGCCTGGTCCATGCCTTGGTGCCACCCTTGTACCGGACAATTGTAGATATCGGGTGCTCTGTCGATGGGTTGTCGATATTGACCAAGACGGCAAACCCATCATTTCTTGCCACAAGACCGCCGGCTGGACTATGTCAGCAATGGCATAGGGGTTGCATTGTAATATTCACATACCCTCTCTGGCACCGGATATCTCAACGGGCTTACCAACCGCTGCGAATGTGGCCGGGTCAACCTGCTGAATGAAAACACTAGCATATGAAGTCGAAAGGTAGGCCAAATAGGCCGATTTCCCATCAGGCGACACCTAAACTTGTCAGTAAAAGTAAAAAAAATATCCCAATCACACAATTTAGAGATCTCCGTACCGAAAAAGGTGTCCGGCGATGGTGAGGAAGACCGGTCCAGTAGGCGGCAATTATCGGATCAAAGTTGTTTCCCAGCGCCAGAGCATTGGGAAACTTTTTAAGACTCCCGGAGGAGAGTTGGCACAGCACAGCTGGAAGGAACAAAAGCCAAAGAAATATGGACATGGTCACAGTGTTTGCGAAAAAGATTGGTCAGTCAAAAGAGTGTATATGAAATGAAGGAAAGTGTGGCACTCGTCCAGGAGGTTTCTGGAGTAGGATAAAAGAGTGGAAGGAGGCGAACTGGGGAGTGATGGAGGGAAGGCAATTCATGCGGTTTCCGTGCCCTTATTATATATGCCCAGCAGGATAAGTCCTTTCGGGACCCTTTGACGATTTGGGTTCATTCAGGAGGAAATACAAGTATAGTACTCTAATGGTCCGGGCCCGGATTCCCACTGGATCCAGAGACCCTTGATTCGTTCGCTCCCGGGATAAGGAAGCGGGGAGCAGGGAAGGGTCCATGGGTTGATATGGTGTAACGGACTAATTGGTCAGTCTTTTGGTCCCGGCAGTAAGTCCACGGGGTTTCAGATTGTTAGCTTTACTACTATACGCCTTACTGGCATTCCAGAAGCGGTTGTCGTTTTTGGTTTTTTTGGTACTGAATTTTGGTAAAATACCTTTTTTTTAGCCTTCGCTAGCGTATCTACGATAACTTACGCGCGGGGTCAGCTGAACTATGATACTCAGATGCTTGTTCCCTGCCTCACCATAACTGGTGGGGGAATTCTCTAACTGGAGCACCTTTGAGCTTGGGGAATGCCTAGCTTCAAACTGCTAAGGTCCCCTCAAAAGGAAATTTTATTTCAGTCTTCTCTCTGTTATTTGGCGGATGATATGGTGGAGATTCAACCAGGAGAAAGGAAATTTTTTCGAAGTAGGCTATCGGGGTTCAAAGTTAAGTCTACTGGGGCCAAATTTCTAATATAGTTAGCAGCTGTTAATCAAAACGGGTGCAGGTTGTCGCCAACGGCACAACAAAACATATCATATCTTACCGGTATGGTTGATCCAGTTGAACGCCTGGGTACAGTACACAAGCCAAATCCGTGAAGGTTAAAAGGAAGGAGAAAGAAAGAAAGAAAAAATCACAAAAATGGGATTCCCGAGAAAACGACAAATTGTTTTCAGGAATGACAATACCGGTACTGTAGTAGTACTGTAGGACCATAGCCTACCCGTACCAGTACGGGTACAAGCACCCAGTAATATGTTTTCGTACAAGACAAGGATCAATTTGCGGGTTAACCTAAATTAACTGTGCGAAAACACATAGTATTCCCAAGTGCTTGTACCCCGAGCACGATGGCCCATAATCCTGAAACATCTCGGGAGGACGGAATCACCGGAAGTCAATCGCGGGGTCCAACCGCGCGGCGCTGGTTCGGGTTTGTTACCGGCGTTAGACCTTGCCCACCCACGGAATGATAAGGCTAGTTCGCTTCGAGCATATTATAAAATCACTTCCAATCTCTCGGTGTGATAAAGTTCGTTCAAAGGCTCCGGATCCTTTATTCGCTTGCGGTAATTCTACTTGTAGCATGCGGTCCTGCGGCGTCGGCTTCGCTGATTGTCCGGGCTTCGTGCGTGGTGAGGGTGCTCCCCGAGATATCGGATCGCGAATTGTGCACGGATGGTGTCCCCTAACTTGACCCGTTTTTAGGTATGGTTTTTTTTTTTTTTTTTTTTACCGACTCCTCCGACTACTTTTAGTACGGAGGTGCCGGTACTGTGCATATGATAGCAACGATGGCTCGTCTTCGGCTTTGCGAAGCTCGAATTCGTTGATTGGCTGGGTGGTCGACTTTCTGTCGATGGGTCTATTCCTCTAACGGGTGATGATGTTATAACTGGACAGGGTCAAACCGGCGGTCTTGCCTATCACCTCGCCTGGGAGGGTACCCGGGATTTGGCACAGATGAAGGGATCAGTGGCTGATTGCCCACGCGTCTCCGGGTTTATACAAAATTGGCGCTGCACTTATTTGAGAAAATAAAGGCATGATTCCTTGCCTTTTAACTAATATATTTGAGGGACCGGATACCAAGTTGATGTAGTGTACTAGTACGAGTACAAGTACTCGAGTACCGGTACAATACTTGAGCTGGGCCAAGGGAATTGTACCCGTACAGTACGGTACTAGCGAATTTAAAAGGGACATGGTTAGTAATGACGAGTCAGCCTCTCTCTATCTCCGCGGTGGGTTTGCTGAGGGCTCAGAATATATTGTACCTGTACTGTACTTGTACTTGTACCCACATTTAAACTGGGTATGGTACAGTAGTGGTAAACTCGCAGGAGAATTTCCGGGTAATTTCTGAGAAATTTAGCCGAGCTGGAAGTTCAGAGATGAGGTGGGCGTGGCGGTATGGTTTGAAGACTGAAGTAGATATCCATCCTTAAGAGCGCTAGCTGGTGAATTGGTAGGGTAGTTTGAGGAGAGGATACTCGAGTATGATACCGGTACTGTACATGCAAGCGAGGCTTAGCGATCCATCTTGGGAGGCGATGCCACTTGGTAGCGAGACGGCACCGGGATTATAAGTACTGTACTCAGTACGGTAGCGGTGGCACCGTACCTGCTAACCTTTTGGATGCTCTGGGCAATGCAAAAACTGGAGGGAGGTAGTCAGTGGCGGTAGGTATTGTGCAGTATGATATATACAAGGTTTTAAGCCGTTTTCACACGTGTTGATAATTATAGCCTTGGACATAAGGCATCACCTGGCCTGTCTGGAAATGTATCATACTGGTGAGGGCCCAGCAAAATCAGCGAAATTTGATCGAACAAGATCCACAGCGCTTCAAGAGCAGTGGGTAACTAGGGACTCCACGATTTAGTACTGCGCGTGTCTCTTTAGCTGCAATTAATTAATTGCGGGTTGGCCCTTGCGCAAGCCAAGGTTAGAGTGTCGAAATATCTGGATTCGTATAATACAAACACTCGGGATTTGTATGGGTGCCCCACAGAGAAAGGCACTCATTTGGGGAATTCGGGCTTGAACATGCCAGCCAACAATGCAGGACACGTCTGATTCCCCTAATACCTTGAGCTGGTATATAATGGATTGAGGCGGGCGTGTCGTTGTGTGGCTGCGAAAATGGCTACCGGTACTTTTGGTGTGAATGGGAGACGATGGCTTTTGTCAAGGCACTTGTAAAGCGCGGTTACGAGCACAGTAGGAGCCCAGAAGTCTTGGTCCAATACAACCCACACCAAAGCCCAGCACAAAATACAGAGTTAAAGCTCGTAAGTTTGGTATGTTCCACAAGCCTCGGGTGTTGCACTCTCTGCCTGTGGAACATACAAAACTTATGAGCTGTATGGTTCCGGTCGCGATAACCTGTCGAGAGCAACGCGAAACCCGCCGAAGCTTTCACCATGAATGTTAGTACCAAAAACAAAGCATGAGGTAAGAAATAAAAGCGTAGAAACATAGAGAATAATGAGGAGAATGATTCTACGATTTCAAAAACCAAATAATAAAAGAGGAAGATACCAAAAATAGTGTTCAAAAGTGAGTGATTTTGTATGAGGTATGAATCAGGGGTACTGAGACACAGGTTAGCCAAAGTCAGAAGGAACATGTAGGATATTAATTCGAATGTAAACAAGGATCAGGATTAAGTACCTACAATTAAGCTCAATGGCACACAATCGGAGAATGAAGCAGCTACTTCGGCTTGCTGCCGAAAGGCAAAACCAGAGTACAACAAGAAAGGTATTGTCACGAATGTGGCTTAGCAAGGAAAGGGTTTCCATGTGACGCATAGTTATGAGTCACAGGTATGTTGTTGTTTCACACATATGACTCATTAGGGTCATATGATTTGTTATGTGTGGGATTTGTGATGCTTTCGCACATGGCTCAAGTATGAGTCATGGGACGTGCGCCTGACAAGTATGCCTTGCGAATATGCCTTGTAGGTAAGCCTTGCGCATATGATTTATGTTTTGCACATGACCTCATTATGAGGTCATGGGTTTGGCGCATATGACTCAGTCGAGTCATATGACTTGTTTATTGCGTTATGATTGGTTTATGGGTTTTGGTACATGACCTTGCTATAAGGTCAGGGGTTTTGAGCATGTGATCACTTTGGTCACATGATTAGTTTGTTATGATTTGGTTTCGCACATGTGACCACTTTAGGTCACATGACTACAGGCGGGAAGAATACTATATAAGGAGGCCGATGCGGCCAAGGAAGATAGGTTCTTCACGCTTTGTTCTAAGTACTTTTCCTACTTATTACTTTAACAAATATAAAACACCTTTACGATCTTTATCTTTACTGCAACAATATCATTACGACAAGAAGCGCTCATCACGAAGACGAGTTAGAGAAAGCTTACGATAGACGTTTCCGATAGAAGACAAAGGTCTTGTACTATCGGTAACGTAGGTAGAGGCTTAGAGCTATTGTAAGATAAAGAAAGAAGGAGACAGAAAAGATAAGTATCGTTCCCCGTCGCCAAGAACTAACTATCTAAAAGGGGATCGTTACAGGTATCAGTAAACATGGGGAATAGCAGAAAGAATAAGGACTCAGAAACTGTTAATAGCAAAGAGTTAGTTCCAGTAGTACCAGTATGGGATTTTGGCTCAGTGAGAAAAACCTCAAGTAACTCGAATGAGGAAGAAATACAGTCAGAAGAGGAGGAGGAGGAGGAGGAGGTTGTGCCAATACTGGTATATATTCTTTAACACATATTGCTAGTGAGTATAGGGTAGCTAAATTGCGAAAAGAATAGTATTAACTTAAATGTGAAGAAGGAACTCGGAAGTGCCAGTGGTTTGGAGCTACAAATGATAAATCTTACCGACTTCGATACCACGATTACGGGTCAAAAGTGTGGAGGGCCAAAACTGCTCCGTGGCTGTGCTGGTCCTAGAGATTCTGACCAGAACTTGAGAAGGAAAAAGGCAGAGCAAAAACAGATGGGCGAAGCATATGCCGAATGCCTCCAAATAGAAACTTTATTTCAACGTCAGCAGGTATGATCTTGAGTACACATAGGAAAGGGCGAAGAGTACAATAGGAAACTGACTAAAAATTTAAAGATTCGGAATAATACTGTCCCAGGTACTGCCTGTTTACCAGTAGTAATCAAGGCTCCTCATACTACAGCACAAATTAGTATACCAGATAAGAGGGAATTAGCAGAGATAGAAGAAGGTATTACTCAACTTCAAAAACATCTCAAGTTAAAAGCAATAGAGGCTCAGAAGTTATTAAGGGGACAATGGCGGCACCGGTACAAATATGTTTTAGCATATCTGCAGTTTCAGGTACAAAATCTTAAGTGTTCACAAATGATTGCAGCGAAAGCAGTAGTAGCAACATTTGGCAAGTGAAGTTGAGTAGCCCAGAGACTGCCAGTCTGGTCAAGAGAGTGGCTAAATGATAGAGTGATTCCATGAGAGGAGTAGGAGATGTTCCAGAGAATGAGTACTCTGTATGATAATGAAGAATTATTAATACATATTCGGAATACTATTGCAGGGATGGGGGAACAACTTACATCACAAAGGTTGGTCAGAGAGGTTAGGAAGTACCTGCTTTCAGATGAGCATGAGTAGGCAGTCCTACAGGATATAGGCGAGCTTGTGTATACCGGTACTATGAGTTGTAAAGGGGCAGGACAGGCAGAAACAAAGTATAAGAGGAGGTCAATATGAGTCTGATCAGCACACCAGTGGTTGAAAAGCTTAGGCTATTAGTATAAGGATATTTGAAAAGGAATCTACTATGATGGCTATGAACGATCAGATGTGATCAGCTATCAGAATAAATTTCTGGATGTATTAGAAGCACTCAAACCTCGGATCATCCAGTATGATGAAAGTGGAAGTGAAAAGCCTCAAGACCTTCAGACTACCTCATTGACCAAGTTACTGGTTCCATGCACTCTTGATGAGTCAACCTTTAATGCCAATGATGGCAGACATCAGTCATATAATATAGTAAAGATCAAGTATACTTGAAAAAGAAGACCTGGGGGAAAGGCATTATGTTAAGTAACTGCTTGTTTCCTAATGGCCATGTCACATTACCACCAGAGATTCCGGAAGCTGTCATCAGGGTAAAAAGACTTGACCCACAAAAGCGATATGCTACCGAATTCTTTGAATATAGCAAGAATAATGATAGGTATTGGAGGTCAGAAAATCTGGTAACTCATATTTTGGATGTTGTGATTCTAATGATTGAATTGCTATACTCTCCAGGGTGTTACTCTGCTCTCTGCTTCTTCAATAATGCTACTAGTCATTCTTGTTTTGCACCTAATACACTCAAAACGAAGGAAATAAACTTGGGACCCAGAGGTGATCAAGCCTATATGCGAAATACTTTTTTTTTAATATTGAGACTGGCACACCTACAGAGCAGTCTATGGTTATTTCTGCTGACCATAATTGGTTCCCAGGTCAACCGAAAGGCTTATGGGAAGTTTTTCAAGAGCATGGCTTATAGAAAAATGGGCTCTAACTAGATTGTAGGGATAAGCAATGCGCAGGTTGTAAGGAGAGGGATAAGAAACATGCTGCTATTGTTAAAGCGCAAGGTTGTCAAAAGCCAAGAAAAAAGAATCCTCCTCTCATCAGCACCACTTACCATGCCTGGAAGCCCTGTCTGCCGTTCCACTTTACTGGAAGTGTCCAGGTTGTAAGATGTTAAAAACCTATCAAGATTGCAATCAATATTGTGCTCAGCGTCTACTTGATGTCCAACCAGACTTTCATACTCAAAAAGGGTGGCTGTAGGAGGAAATTGAGGATCAAGGTCACCAGGTTCTATTCTATCCAAAGTTCCATTGTGAATTAAATTGGATAGAATATTACTGGGGGCGCACTAAACACTTTACCCATGAAAATTGTGGGTATCACATCGATGTCTTGCAAGAAACAATTCCGCAGACTTTGGAATTGGTAGGAGGGGATGTCATTTGGAAGTTTTATTCTAAAAGCCTTTGGATAATGAAGGCCTATCAAAATAGATTGATCTATGGTACTGAGGAGTTTCAAAACACTGTATATAAGTCACATCGGAGGATACATGACAATGAGGGAGAATAATTTCATGTTAGTACATCCCTTCTTAATCACTTTTTTTTTCACTGCTAACTATGAAACAGAATCTCCCTGCCAGAATTTTATGCTCCTTACTGTGCCTTCTTGCTGGGAGAGTCCCATAGAAAAAGCAAATTATATGCTTACTAAGTATTTTGCTTAATAGCCGCTCTTACAGGTTTATCGCGACCGGAACCATACGAGTACAGTACTATGATATACTCGAGTACTGCCCTCTACCTCCTTAGGAGTTTTCAAATTGACAAGCCCCCAACACACTGTGCTGCCGAAAACAATTGGATGCTGACGTCGCCCAGAAAACTTCTAACTCAACCGCCGATGCACAAATAAAGAAGACAAGAAGTACCGTACTGTACTCGTACTGTACATCATCTGTGTAGTGCAGCGCGCCTAAAGGCTGGTCCTCGGTGAAAAAGAGAAATTGGAGCGGTTCTATGGCATTCCTCTGGCCAACCGCGGGGCCAACTTTGCTGCTATGATATCTGGCAAGTTTTTTCACTCTCATCAAAATATTGCATTTTGCACTGCTAATTTCTCCAGCTGGTTACCTGATTCAAAATAAAGAAATCACACGTTCCTTCGCCTCCAAGTTCACTACGACACGTAGGCTTTATTCCTTTGTTGTTTGTTGTTGCTGGATACTAAATTAGGGCTCGGGTTCGGTGTGTTTGGTGGACGCGGTTTGATTCTCGTTGCCCCATACTCTCATTGTATTGAGATGCAGAGGGGATGGGAAGTATTGATGAGGAAAAGGGGGTGAATGATCGCTTTTCCACGGCCTCTATTTCTATGGCAAAATGATCGCGCCTAAATGCCTTTTATTACCCCTGGGGTCACTTGAAGGGTAGCTTGACTTTCCTGCTTTCCGGGGGAGTCATAGTGGTTCTGCATATAAGGCGGTTTGTTGCTGACAAACAGCTTCGCAACCATATCTTGAGGCATCTTCTGTCATTCGGGACCCACCTTTCTAGCCATCGCGGGCGCTGGTATGTACGAGTACAGTACTTGAAGGAGGATGCGAGACCTGAACTTGTGGTGCTAATTTTTTTTTGTTTTCCATATCAGTTACGGGGCCCGGATAGGGGGTCCCAAGCTCCGGTGCTCTTTTGAAGTTCCCCGACTTAAACTTGCTACATTCGGATTCTATTGGGCAGTGCTTCCAGAAAGATACGCCTTAGCAAGACCGACTGTAGTAGCCTGTTTGCCTAAACATTCACCGTGCTGGCGTGGCGGCTCAGGGGTATTGTGATGCTGTTAGGCTCCTAAAGAAGTGCATGTGTTTAGGCAGACAGAGTCAGTTCTACTCGGGTGAATCTCCATCTAAACGTCTCAGAGTTCTCAAAGCTAATGGAAAAGGTTGATAGGATTAGCCAGCTAGGTATTTTTTCTAAATCCTGTTTTTGACGTTTCGCGCTTCAAATAGCGTTGCCACGGTAGTTTAATCCTCCGCCTGTTGTAGAGGTAACTTAATCAGGATCCAACAAATGGGAGGCCATTTCGGTCGCGTCGCGGCTGCGGGCGTCAACCCGTGCGAAGCGTCAGCCTACAAATCATTCTTGCCTCTCATATCATACAAAGAGCCTTGCCCGCCATTTTCTCGTTTGCACAGGGGGGGAGGGGCTAATATTGAGTTGCCAGTGTTAGGCATATCGATATGTGGATGTGGGGTTATCTGGATGAGTTGGATAAGATCCTCAGCTTTCCCCCCCCCAGTGGATAAGTCGAATGGGTTGGGGTGTCGAGTGAAACTCCATGAAGGGCTCTGGTAGTTTCCAGATATCGTATCTTATCATATAAAGAGGTATCATACCCAATATTAACCCTAAGGGCTATGCGCTTGCTGGATTCTTTCTCTTGTTTTCCACCTACCCATAAAGGTATTTCTTTAGAACACACCACGACCTTTGGTCCCTCAACTACCGTGACAGCTTAAAACTTCTTCAACTACAACCTTCTCCACGGTATTCTGGACAAGTCTCCTTTACATACACCACTCTTACCACTTTTAACCCATTTTTCACGGTTTTCCCTCCTAAGCCCTTCTCTACTTTCCCCAAACCCTTCCCTACATTTCCCACTTCAGTTTTTCCCCACTTTTGTTTTCCCTCTCCACCACTCTCTCCACCGCACACCACCTTTACTCTACGCTTTTTACCACAAGCTTCCCTTACCACTTCTCTCGAACCAAACACTGACCTCACTTTCAGGCGAAACTCGTTTGGAAAGAAACATCAAAATGGTTCGCACCGCAAACACCAATTCCACCAATTCCTCTCCTCGCAAAAATTCCGACAATGAATGGACTACCATCCCAGTCAAGCCTAAGCTACTTGTGTCTTTCCCTAAGCATCCCGCCGAGCCAACTTTGCACATGCTTCTCCTGCACTCCTACTTCCCCTTGAACGTTCCCAAATGGATTTGGCACTGCTACCTCGATGATGAAGTTCTAAGCCCAAACCCGCGGGGCCGTGAGCGCTACATGCGCATTCAAAAGGCTTTCACCAAGAGCGGTAACTTCTTCGCTGAGCGCGGCATTGTTCTGCACTCCCTCAACATCTCCACCTCACGCATCGTCGAGCTGTTTTTCGGATCGGAGGAGGATCTCTGGAAAGCCGATGCGCTGGTTGAAGAGTACTCCCGAGCCATGACCGGAGCGGATGGCTATATCCGGCGTAAAGAGAATATTGGAAAGATGGTCTGCCATGGAGTTTACTTTCTCGAACAATTCACTGGCGAGTTTGTTGGCAGGTGGAATCTCAAGGAAGAGAGATTGCGAGAGCTTGAGGACATGAATCCTGTGTTTGATTCTAATGGTAAGAGGGTGCTTTATAGGATTCGGTATGTGCACTACATGAGCTCCCAGGCCTCGAGTGAACAGTTGTCGCGGACTGGGGCTACTTGGGCGGTCACCTTTAGTGACTTTAGGGTTGCCGAGTGCTTCATTGATGGACATGCCGAATTCAACTTTTTCATGGATCCCTGCTCCGGAGGGCTAAAGTGGTATCAGGATAACCCTTCTAGATTCTTTCATAACCCCAACGGTTTTCGGAGGAGTTCTGGGTCGTCAAACGGTAGTGGGAGTGTCCCAGGAACTGTTGGGTCGTCTGGCGCTACTACTGCTATTGCAACTACCTCTGGAGCCAATAAGCTCATTGAGAAGAATTCTGAGGGCCCGGCGCTTATTGAGGACCCTGAGCAGGCTAAAAGTACACTGGACGTCAAAGTTAGCATCACCGAGCTGAAGAAACCTGAGGATAGGATCCTAGCTAATCTCCTTGAACAGGTTGAAACCCCGGCGGATGTCAAAGTCACTAGCATCGAGCAGCAGAAATCTGAGATTGAGCCGATTGCCACTGCTACCACTGGCGGAGCCAAGCAAGTTGTCATCAAGGAGAGGCCCGAGGTTCAGGTGGCTCCTAATACCTCATGGCAGACCGGGAGCCTAGGGGAAGTCAAAGCAACAGGCGCCGAGCAGCAGAAATTTGAGATTCAGTCGACTTCCACCGTTCCCACTGATGGAGTCAAGGAGGGGCTCGTCGTGAAGAATCCCGAGGCTCAGGCACCTACCAATACTTTCATGAAGCAGGCCACAGGTATGGAGGCAGTCCAAGCCAGTACCACCGAGCAGCAGAAACTTCAGCCATTGCAGAACTTGGTCGGAATCACTCCCACTGCCCCCATAGGCCCCAAGGGGGGTGAAGCTACGGCAGCGCGCTCCATAGGAAAGATGTGGGGACGGAGAGCCAATAACCAATCCCAAGGGGATAGAGAGAATCACTTCCCGCTTCTCCCTCCACCTCCCCCTCCCTATCGCAAGCCCATTGCAACCCAAATTCTCAGTGGCGCCCCCCCGGACACCCTCGACAAATTCTCCCCTCTCGTGCCTTCAGCTCCATCAGCTGGGGTCCTGAGACCTCCACTCACCGAGGACGCAAAGCGCCAGTACCCCATTAATCCCAGGAGGCCCGGAGCGAAGGTCACCCCACTGGCTAAGGAACCTACCTGTGGTAACAACGACAACAACAATTCTGCCCCCGCCTCTGCGCTTGTAGACCAGACAACTACCGCTGCTGCTGCTATTACTACTGCCACCAAACAATCCTACCACCAGCACCGCCTGTCAAACCCAAGACAAAACATCAATCGCAGACCGTCTGACACTGTTCCCAGAACTGCCACCACTGCTCCGACCGGTGTTAGTGTTAGCAAGGGCGGGGCTAATATAGCTCCTGTCAATGCCTCCCAGCCAAAAATCGAAAAGATCTACACTCCGGAAGTTTTAGAGAAGCGCAGGCTTGCGAAGCTAGCAACTAAGAAGAAGAGGGCGGACAAGAAGAGGGCGGACAAGAAAGCGGGTGCTCTTGAGGATGCTACCGGGGCTACTGGTTGTGGTAGTGGAGGAGAGGGCGAAGTGAAGGTTGAGGGGAAGGAGGCTGCGCAGGGAGTTGTTATTGGGTAGTGCAGCTAATAATTTTGGGGGTGTAGGGGGGGCGAAGGTTTTGTTTTCTTGATCTTTTTTATACTGCTCTTTTACTCTTGTTTGGACATCTGTTCTTGGTCGTGGTCCTGTTATAGGCGGGCTAGCTGTGGGGGAGGTGTTTAGCTGACTGACTGGCTAGAATGGGACCTGGTGAAACGGAGCAGATAGTGAGCTGGATAGAGGGGTGGTATTGATTGTGTCCTTGTAAGGGAAGCTTGTGGTCTTTTTTCTTCTCCACTTCTCTTGAGCTTTAGTTCTACCTGTCTAGATTCAACCTCTTTCATTTTCACACTTTTATTCTTCAATATCTATTTTTTTTCTTCCACTGGGCCTTGAGAGAATGGTAGAATGGGATCAACAGGGTGGGCCTCTTCTCACTTTCCAGCCAATTTGGCTCTCGATAGACTTATGTTTTCGTTGCTTTCGACTCCTTAGCACGCTGTACTAGTGTCTAGAGAATTCTGGAAGTTATAAAGTAGGGCTAGAACAACAAAATGTATGATACGGGTGTTTCGTTTATGATATGTTTTGTGTAAAGTCTGGGAGATAGTACTATGGGTATTCAGTATGAAAGCAGTAGTAATTTCACCGGTTTATCCATTTGCTCAACATTCCCTGCCACAAGTAATCCGGCACGATGAGTATGATAGCAAGCAATGATTTTACTATCTCCGCCGAGCGATTATTCCAATTGGGATTTCACGAGTGATGAGCTATGCTTACAGCAAATCCGACGGATCGTCATACTTTTCTCTTTCTTTCCTCACCCACGAATACCTTCTCTAGTACACGCCACTGCCTTCGTTCCTCCAACTATCGCCACACTCTAAATTTCTTAAACTAAAACCCTCCCCGCGGTCTTAGGGACGAGACAACCCTTCTTTACTTATTCGATTGCTACCCCCCCCTTTCCCACCTCCCCCCCTAAACCCTTCTCTACCTTTCACTTTTCTTCTCCTTTTATTTAACCTTTGCTTTCCCCCTCCCTCGTTCCATCCACCACACACAACCTTCTCTCCACACACAGGTCTTTTACCACCTCACTTTCAAACAGACATCTTTTAACACCAAACTCCAAAATGGTTAGCACCGCAAACACCAATTCCACGAGCTCCTCTCCGGGCAAAAATACCGACAATGAATGGACTACCGTCCCCGTCAAGCCCAAACTACTCGTATCATTCCCCAGATACCCCGCTCAGCCAACCTTGCACATGCTTCTCCTGAACTCCTACTTTCCAATGAGCACCAACAAGTGGATTTGGCATTGCTACCTCGACTACGAAGTCCTGAGCCCAAACCCGCGGGGCCGTGAGCGCTATATGCGCATTCAAAGGGCTTTCACCAAGAGCGGTAACTTCTTCGCTGAGCGCGGCATTGTTCTGCACTCCCTCAACATCTCCACCTCACGCATCGTCGAGCTGTTTTTCGGATCTGAGGAGGACCTCTGGAAAGCTGATGCGTTGGTCGAAGAGTACTCCCGGGCTATGACAGGGGTGGGCGATCGTATCCGGCGCAAGGAGAATACCGGGAAGATGGTCTGCCACGGGGTTCACTTTCTCGAACAATTCACTGGCGAGTTTATCGGAAGGTGGAATCTCAAGGAGGAGAGATTGCGAGAGCTTGAGGACATGAATCCTGTGTTTGATTCTAATGGTAAGAGGGTGCTTTATAGGATTCGGTATGTGCACTACATGAGCTCTCAGTCCTCGAGTAGTAAATTGTCGCGTCATGGTGCGACTTGGGCAGTTTCCTTTAGTGACTTTAGGGTTGCCGAGTGCTTCATTGATGGACATGCCAAGTTCAACTTTTTCATGGATCCCTGCGACGGGGGATTGACCTGGTATCACGAGAATCCTTCAAGATTCATTCCTAACCCCTCCGGTTTTAAGAACGGTGGTGTGTGTGTTTCTGGAGCTGCTACGTCATCTAATACTACTCCTGCTGTTGCTCCTTCTGGGGCCGACGAACTCATCGAGAAGGAGCTTGGGGGTTTGGCAATTACTAAGAACAGTGAGGAGGATGTAAGCGCACTGAACGCCGAAGTTAGTATCACAGAGCAGAACAAACCCGAGAGTCAGATTCTTACTAATCCACCCAAGCAGGCCAAAAACTCGGGAGACTCCAAACTCACCAAGGCCGAGCAGGAGGAATCTGAGTTTCACCCAATTACTACTGCCGCCGATGGAGCCGAGCAGGCTGCCGTCGTGACGTCCGAGACTCAGGTGCCTACTGATACCATCACAAAGCACTCTCCAAAGCCAGGTGTCGCCACAGCCAATACCACGGAGCAGCAGAAGCCTCAGCCATTCGAGCACTCGGCAGGAGCTACCACGAGCCCCTCTCCCGCACCTACCAACCCGGAGGCGATCAACATAAAAGAATACCGGAGAGCGAAACTCAAGGAGCAACCTCCAAGGGACGAAAGGAGCGAATTCCCTCCTCTCCCTCTCCCTCAAGATGCACTTCTATCTCCATCTCCACCCCCAGCACAATCCTCACTACCTATCCGCGAACCCGCTTCGGCCAAGATCCCAAGCAGCTCACTCCCAGATACCCCCCAAAAATCCCCTCCACTGGAAACATTAACCACAAAAGGTAAGGGATGCGAA